CATTATTGGTAATCAACTCGACACACAGTACATTAATACAAGCAGAGGTGGGCAGTAGCGCGCTACATGTAGCGGCCGCTACATTTACAGTAGCGGTAGCGGCGCAACATTTAAGCAATTGTAGCGGTAGCGGTAGCGCCCGCTACATATTTAAGTAGCGATACGAGGTTTTGCTGCTACAGCGCTACCGCTACATTTATAGATAAAGCCTTTAGATTTTACTTAATAGTATTAATATTATTTTAAAACCAGCATGATACATACATAATATAAATTACAGAATAAAACTGTACAAAAGATTTTGTTGTAAAGTTGTCAACCTCAGCCTGTTACTAGTGTCAACATATTAGTTGTTACTTGTTAAGTTGTTACCAGTTACCACATACAGGTATTTTTTCATGTTTCAGTTTGCTTACAGTAATTTTTACACAGTTATTTTTTTGTTTCACTTTCCCTACATGGATGTCTACTTTAAGCTACCAATCTCAAAAATAATCCACATATTCAGTATATACAAATAAAAGACAGATTTTTTTATATGTATATGTGGATAATTTTTGTGATTGGTAGATTAAAGTAGACATCCATGTAGGGAAGGTAAAACACAAAAATAGCTGTAACTTTTATTTACTGTATCTAACCCGTACTAGTTCGGTTAGGTTAATTGCAATAAAGTTGCATTGATATGTTTTGAAAATTTTTATTATCATTAAATGTTTATGAGTAAATCCCAATAGCAGAACAATAAATATTTAGAGATTTCCAATAATTTTGGCCATTGTAGCGGCTAATGTAGCGGCGCTACATTTTACTGTAGCGGTAGCGGTAGCGCTCGCTACAATCTAGTGGGTGTAGCGGTAGCGGTAGCGCTCGCTACATTTAGAGCATGTAGCGGTAGCGGTAGCGCCGCTACATTTCAAAGTAGCGCTGCCCAGCTCTGAATACAAGTATACACGTGATTCCTGTTTTTTATGAACTAAACCCTCTACCGCCGCATGTCACTCGATCTCCGGGAACATAACTTTCAGCTTAAAATATACGTAAACCATTTAGTGTAGCAACCTGAGGACGTTTGTACGCAACAGAGAACATTTTCAAGTTGTCGTACGTGGCGGCAACCATCAGTGCGAGTCATTTTGCGCTCACTAGAACGTATCCTTTTTAGGAAGTAGGCTTGTGACAATATTGCTCCGGTTACTCGTGTCAGGCGGTAGAGGGTTGATTCGTTCCGTGAATGGGCTCATATGAAGAAATGTTCGTAGGCTGAAAAAATATTCCCCATTAGAATCAATTTAAAATCAAGAGATGCCTACCACACTCTTTCAAAAGTCACAATTTTACAACATTTCTCTTTAACTTCACTTCTTGTTTGTTTGTCTGCTACAAATCTTATAATCGATATTTGAAACACTTCTACCTGTCCAATCGATCTGAAATTTTGCACACTTGCATAAAGTCAAAGACAATGCATGAATCAATTGCCAGAATAAATGAATTTGAAAATATACAAAATTGTAAAATATTATAAAAAACTTATAAACTAGTTTTTTTTAATATTTGAAAATAAAATTATAAATTCATTGTACATGTGTAACAATAAAAACATTGGATTTTTTAGAAGAGTTGTCTCTAAAAAGTCATTTTTAAAAGCATATTTTTGGCCTATTATTATGTATAAAATAAAATTTGTAACGCAAAAAACACAGAACCATACCAATAAATAAATATTAAAAAACATTGCCGATATATATACTTTTTAACAGGAGTTCTTTTCGTTGACGCTGGAACGACGCTTGGATATGATCGATAGAAGCCATGATCATTTCCATCTGTTTAAACTTTATTGCGACTTTATTGGCCAGCAATGCGCCTGTCTTCGTCTTGCTACCTAAATATCTAGCATTTTATATCGAGCGTCATGGCCCGTTGCACGACGCCTTCACCATTTTTTTCAGTAGCCTTCATATAGGAGGCATGATCCAATATATTGATATGTAATGTGTGTAAAGTTTATTCGTTCAGGAAGGGTTTTGAAAACGCGAGTTTCCTTGAACTTCTTATTAAGATAGGTTTTTGTAAAATAAATATATAATGGTATAATTAATCGTTTATAACTTAGTATTGCACATAGCATCAATGAGTTACGTGAAATACTTTATTTCAAACTAACAAGAACTTGAAACGAGAGCAAACATTCAGAGCGAGATTCCTAACTAAACACGTACCAAATATTCCCTTCACTAGGCAAGACGAGAGCCACAATCGAACTAAATCAAACGCGTAGATTAAAATCTACTATAACTAAGTTGCGAACGACACATGTGCACCAAGAGGAAAATTTATTGAAAAATGAATTTGTATAACTAAAAATTGTGTTCTGAAGTTGTTCCTAAGGTTGATTTCATGGGAGTAGCTGTAACTCACCAGAAGTTAGCTGAGCTTTTAGTAAAAAATTACTCAAGAACGTTAAATTTCGGTCAAGATTTACTTAGTTACCATGCTTAATCACAGATATTTTCGAGCTATAATTCTATTTTTTCTCTAATTATTCTTCCTGACTGTTCTCTCTGGTTAATTGCGCGAGTACAGTTGTGCTCATTGCGCATCAGCTAGTGTACGTCGTGTAACTTCAAAAACAGATTAACGGTACACCAAGACATGTGTTATCGTTCAGAATACCTACTTAAGCTCCCACTTACTTCAACTGTGCCCCTCTGGCGATTAAAAGCTGAGGAAAAATCAATTTCATAACTTTCATTTTCACCTTTGGCGCATAGAGAATGAGGTTGTTGGAATCCATGCATTTTTATCATCGGAAAATATTGTCAGAAAAAAACATACAGAATTTAGTTTAGCTATATGAAATTTTTAATTTTTTAATGGGATGGTTCTTAAGCGACTTTGCCTTTATTGTTAAATAATTATTCTTAGATTTTGTTATCTAACTTATAAATTTATTCGCCAGCTCATTTCACTTATATTATTGCATTGTTTGAATTTTAAACTTTAAAGGATATACCAGGTCTTTAAACGTTTTCTTAAAGAATATGAAAAATTTCCTCATCTTTAGATATGACTTAAATTTGTTGTTTACTTTCTAATAAACGCAATTAAATGAGCTCAATATTCACTAATGCTTTATTAATAATATAGATGGAATACTTTCTCACCTGTCCAATTGACGCCCGCGAAGCTATAAAGCTTGTTCAACATTCGCCAGGAATTTTTTTGTTTTGTTGTCTATTTGTTATGTGTTGTATACTCTTGTGTGAAACAATGAAGAATCAGTAAAAAGTGTATTTTGGTGTTGGGTTGGGGTTGCGAGGGTCTAGAAACGTCAGGGTTTTGAAACGTTTGCGCGGAGTTGAGGGAGATAAGGGGTTCATTATTAACAGTATTTAGATATATGAGTGAGCACTATTAAGCAACAATAGTAATAATATGTAATTTCACGATGTTCATACTTTATACATTTTTATTTTATATTTTGGTTGTATTCATTTTTATCATGCAAGGATGGAACGGTAAAAGTTGATAATGGTGATATACCGACGATGTTTGTGATGATGAGCGAGTCGCTTAAGAATCAGGAGGTAAATTAGGCGAGTTGAGTTTATGTGTTTACGCTGGGTCATCAATCTAGGCTCTACTGTGAATCACTCTCGGTGATTTTCGAGTGGTTGCAGGTGTCAACAGCACTTGAAAATCAATCGCCGAACCGAATTTCACGTGTTATTCTGGCGTTATTCTTACACAGGCGTTATTCTTAAAGCTCAGTTTCCCACAAGCCACACGCTCAGTTTCCACAACGATTTGTCTGCGCAGTTTTAAGTCGGAATGAAATCGTTGCAATTTTTAGAGCGTCCACATGGTGCCGACTTATCTCTGCAGTTTGCTCAGTTTTGCGCGATCTCGCCATGGAGACTCGGACAAATTTACGGCCGGGGTTGCGGCCCGTGTCCAAATTCAGTGAGCATGGATTATCTACCAAAGTAATGAACGTAACTCGATAAAATTAAGTACAAGTATTCATAAAGACCTAATGGTTGTTTAGCTCGTGAATATTTTTGGGATTTCACCTTCATTCGTGAGTTATATGACGATACGTGCCGAAATTTGCAGTGAGCATGAAATTTTTTCTTTACTACTGTACAGATTTGAACGAAAATTTGAATATAGAAACCTGACCTCCAAACGGCGATGTTTAGATTGTGACAACTTTTTAGATTATACGCCAATGTTCTGGACTACATTCAACACAGGTGATGTGGAAAACCTAAACCAAATGTCAGAGAATTTAGTCGTCGCGCACGTAACCGCTATTCCCTATATATGCAATTATACATAGAGGAAATATTGATTCTACTAATGAAAAAACACATACAAGAATGACTAAGACCACAAGGCGATACAGTAGCTGGTCAACCTAATCAACAACTTCAATTGATGACTCCTTAGGATACACTGACGGGCTGCAGGTTTTGGCCCATGCCCAAGTTTTCGCCAAAATGTTACGTAACTTTACTGGTCGCGGCAGTAGAAAGATTTTAAGTGCGTGTACGTGACAGAGCTAATTTGAACAAATACGTAAGTTCCATAGACCTCTCACTTCGCCAGATTTCAGAGTACTAGACAAGGCAGAAGCAATTTTCAAACGGGTTCTAAGTCGTGTAATGTGCGCGTGGATGTCATCAGGCAAGAAATAGAGTTCTGCGAGGGAGTGACTTGTCAAAGCAGATATCCTTCAACTCCGATATAGAGAAGCAAAATAATGGTACATTTATTTAAAAATAATAGAAAAAACTGAAGATTCACAGGATTTTTTTGAAATGTTTTAAAATCAATTCAAAATTATAAAAGTTTTTATGGCTTTAACTCCCACGTTATAATTTATTCTCTTTATTTCACGAAGTGATCAGCACATCTGAAGCTGCAGAAATGAGAACCATAGCAAAATATTCATTAATACTGTCTGTTAGTTTTGTCTATGTATCGTTCATCTACTGGTTGACAATGGAACGTCACATGGAATCAGCAGCACACCCAAGTAAGTGGTAATTTCCAAGAGGACGTTATCTATAAAATAATATAGATTAATATAACAATATTTAATATATACTAAAATAATATTTCCAAGAGGACGTTATCTATAAATTGTCACAGAATCTCAGGTTGTCTTATCCGAGTTCTGCAACATAAAGCTGAAAATTTCAACAGTCATTTATATCTTTCTAAACGCTTTTTGTTTGTAATTTATTAATATTAACAAATTATTTGAAGTATCATGTAATTACGCAGGGCTGATAAATCAGTTAAGAGTATCATATTACCCACAACGGAATTTAAATGCATTCAGTTCAGTGCTAATTTTTTTAGAAGAAATACGTTTTTATCGGCAGACAAGTTTCATAAACGCATTTTTTATCGTCAGCAAATGTTTGGGACTTCTATTCGTGTTCACTATTAAGCACATGCGACAAAAAATAAAGGACTGCATCGGACGATACACATTCTTGGGCATTAGAACCACATTTCTAAACTTTTCCAAACCCAGATAGTGAATTACAAACTGCACGGCCTAATAGCAACTTTCAACATTTTTGTATTTCCGTGACAGAATCTACTAATAAAATTTAGGAAATTCAAGTCATCACATGACGGACGTGAGTGAAAAATCACGGTCCCGATCACGGGAAATAAATTTACCGGTTGCAAATATTAGCAAAGGTAAAAATTATCTAAAATCAATTTAACTATGAGGTAGAAGACCCAAAGGACTGAAAATGAGTAGTTTCAACCATGATGATATGTTTATTTGCCACCACAAACTTAGGACCACTCATAATCATGGAACATAAATACAGCGGTCACGCATTGTACCAAATATTAGATTGTAATGGACTTACTGTGCAAGAACGCAGTCTCATTACAACTAGTAATTATTCAAAGTTCTCAATCGTAGCCGACAACGTGCGTAAAGTCTACAGATCGACAGGACTTTGTTTTGAAACAAATTTTAAATTCTTGTTTTATGTTCATTACGTTTATATGAAATCGCATCGTGCTGGATGTTTATGAAATTTAAAAATCACTACTTCAAAATTGAGGTCGGAAAGAGAGAATAAAAATTAAAATGTTCATGAATACCGATTTGAGTTTGTGAGATTTTGAGAAGCCTTTCTAGAATGAGAAGCATTGGCATTTCGAGAAGGCAATGGAAAGAGTTTCTACACTTTGCTTACATGATATTGTTTATTTTATTTTATCTACCATTAAACTTCTATCATTACATGCCTGTAATTTTTTCTTCCGCATACGATTTTATTGCAGAAGTGTCGTCTTCTGCAACGACGGACAAAAAAGCCATCGTTCCACTAGCGCATAACCAGAATAATTCGTTGTTGAAAGGTACAGTGTCTCCAGTTAATTTTAATTCATATTATAGGTGAGTTCACAATTGATGAAACCGACATTTCACCTATCCAGCTATTACATTACATTCTAATAGATACTGAAGCAAACTAATTAACATGATTACTAGCTCTATTAGATGGCACAAGCAGGTGTCAGATAGCTTACGCTGCAATAGTTCACTGTTATTGACCAATCATCTCATACCTATCATCAGATCGATGTCTAAGCCTAAACAACTGTAACAACTGCATTCAACAAACAGATGTCAAGAGCAATATCTTCTATGTCCATTAGTCAAAGGTTTTTAGCTATGAAGTAATTATACATAACTAAATTTGTTTTCACACAGTGAAAGATTTTAAGCTTGGCTTCCTAACATTGCTATGCAATTCTTTTTTCTTATTGGTGGTTTCCTCTTGGTACTTGTCTAGTTTCTATTCCCTATAATACAAGCGCTACAATGAGCTGGTCATCGTCAGATCATTCGCAAGGCATTAGTATATAATGCTGACTTCATTCACTTTTCCTTGATTTACTTCCATTCCACCCTCCTTTTCAAACGTGTTGCACTTCCGTTGACAGCTTCATTTAATTTTCGTTCCCAGTAAATTTAGAGGTAAAAATTACGTAACGAACTGATGAAAATACTTTTTATTGGCTGAACTCGAACAGACGTTATCGACTAATCAGTAAATGAGTCAAACCTTTATATATGTCTATGCCGAAATCCATCTCAATGTGGCATGGAGTCGCGGTAGGACAAAATTCGAGACCCTTATATAAGTTCCCACAAACAATCTTTGAATGACGCCGTCCACAATTTTATTCCCAGCTGTGTTTGGACCAAGTTAGAGCTGGGATGCTCTACTGTTGAATTTGAATCATGACATTGAAGTAAGCCATCTTTATAGATTACCATGAATAAACAATGTATTATCGGGTCATGAATTTTTTATCCATGTATCTAAAATTCTATCAAGAATATTCAACAGACAATTTATTCTCTAATAATAAATGAATTTACATTGTAGATGATTTCAAGACTCTGGGGTATCTCGTCGACACGCCATCTTGCAAATTACCGGACTACGACCCGAACGATGACAGCATTAAGATGTTCATCAAACCTCCCAGCAAGGTTAGCCAGTCCTTTGATGCCATTCAACCTTGCACTTAAATTTCTCTGGTATTGTATATCAAGACTCTATCAAGACTCTAGCGTATATAAGGATCTCAAAATTGGCGCCAAGGGTTGTTAGTTCTAAGGAGGTGACCGTCACGCAAGCACGGTCTGCTGTCAGCGGACTTTGCAACGGCCGGGGCCGTGAGGCCGGCGGCTTCTCCGTTTTTCGAACATTGACGGTCGAGTGGTATCTATATAGACCCATCGTGACGGTGCTTACGATTCTGTAAGCACGTCAAGGTAATCGTCGTTAAGGTAATCAAACATTGGATAATAATCCAATTCACTGCTCTCGTTGTCAGACATTGAATTTCAACAGTAATAGTCTTGTGTGAAAGCAGTACGCTGCAAACTCGAGAACAATGTTTTCAGGACTGCATTCAATCATGAATTTTCAAAAGGTTTTCAATCATATTTATGCCGCGATCCTTAAATCAAATTGTAATCCCTCAAAATATCCAATCAACCTACAATATTTGACTGAAAGATCACAAATACTTAGAAAAATTATACTGTTGACATTCTTCACTTAGTTGAGAACCGCTATGTCTAAGAAGCGCCGATTGGCGGCGGTTGGAGTGCAGCAATCAGTCGAGGCGTGGCATTTCAGTTGCCGCAAGCGCCAACGTCTTATACCAGATCTAAATATTTATAAAACTTCATTTCATTAAGAATTATCTTTAAAATAAACAGGCCCCGCTAACATTTTATTTTTCAAATGCATAGAAGTGATCTCAGTTGAGGTATATTTGACAAACACGAAAGCGAAAGAAGTTGTGTTTCTCATTTGACAGCTGGCACTTCCTCAGCTGGCGAATTCCTTTGCACAAACCTAGAATAATATAATATTAATATATGATATATATATTATAATAATAATATAAAATCACAAAATATGTACTCTTTATGACTCCCGCATCCTAAATTTTATTCGATTCAATCAATGGCATTTCACAGTCGATAATTTTCGAAATATTAGTTAGACTAAGATTTACACTTTTTGAAGTGATTGAAAGTCGTACTTTATGCATCTGTGTCGTTAACAAGGATTTATGTCGAAATTCAATAGTATATAAAACGATCAAAAAATTAAATTCGCTACAGAGTGAGTTACTTTTGACTAATAGATCATGCTTGACTTCAAGATTACTGGACTCAACCAGTTTTCCGTAACGTAATTCTAAACTAAAAAACCAGGCTCCCGACTTTTTCATTATATGCAGGAGCAAAATTAGCAAGCGATGCTCACATGCCCTAAGAATGACTGACCAACTATCGGTTGGTAATGGGGGTGTAGCCGTTGGCCACAAATTAAACTGATAACCATCATCGGAACCATAGCTCAGCCTAAACATGCGCACTGCACAGCTACACGTAGTCTGTGAGCTACGAAGCTGCAGACAACGCTAGACACAATAGACGTCACACCAGCTGCGAACTGCTTGAAACAATAGCGCCGAAAATATACGGCCACTTTTCAGCCCTTAGCACGCACCTCCTGGCGTTATATTTATGCAAAAAATTAGATCAGTACACACTGCAGTGAGTGACAGAGAGCGCATTTTCTCGTCCGTCAGTCCGGGAAGTCACGGACGGACGGACGGACATGACGAGCACAATAGCGCCTTTTTTCCATAAATGAGAAAATGCGCTAAAAATGCTTTCAGGCCACCCAGCTTGTTTCCTACATCGCTCTATATCAGTGGTTCCCTAACTTTTTCAGGCGGCCCCCATTGACATATAAAAACATACCCCTCTTTCTTGAAATTTAGTACGCTGCAATGTTAAAAGATAAAGGTTAAACACAAATGTGTATTTCACAAATAGAACCCCATTTAGTGAACCAATATGTTTTTCAGCTGTTTTAACTGTTTCAGTACTAGAAACCTAGGACGTCGCGGACGAATTTGCGGCCGGACTCGTGGCCGGTCTCACGACCAATCTCCAAATTCAATGATCAAGTAATATCTCTCAAACTAATGAACGCAGCTCTATGAAACCTGGAACACGCATTCATCATAACCTAAAGGTGATGTTTAGCTCGTGCATTTTTTTAAATTTCACCTTAATTCGTGAGTTACGCGTATATTGCGAAACAGGCCGAAATTCGCAGTGATCAAAGAATTTCTTCCAAACTATTGAACAGATTTGAACGAAATTTTGAATATACATTCTAACTACCAAACTGTGATTTTTTTGCTTATAATTTTTTCGATTTTACCTTCGTTTGCGAGTTTTTTTTTTCATTTCACCGTCATTCTTGATTTCACACTTCCTTATATTCGGCCCGTATCGCCGGGTAATTTGTCACTTAAATTCGCGGCGATCAAGAAATTTATTTAAACTACAGTATGAACCTGTCCAGTAGTTTGGAAGAAATTACTTGATCATTGTGAATTTCGGCCCGTATTGCCATATAACAATGGCAAAAACCAACGATGGCAAAATTCAAACAATTTTTACGAGTAAAACATTATCGTTTGGTCCTACTAAATACGTGTATCAAGTTTCATCGAGTTAAGTTTATTAGTTTGAGAGATATTCCTTGATCATTGAATTTGGAAATTGGCCGTGAGACCGACCGCGAGTCGGGCCTTTAATTTGTTCGAGACGTATACCCAGGAGAGCTAGGTTAAAAAAAACTGAAAAAATCATCGATGGAGTCATGTGCTGCACGTGTTGTGTACAAATCGTCTAACAAACGTTCAAACTTCTGACATTGACTTCGGACTACCGCTCCCCTACCGCCCTCTTCTTCCTTACCCCCCAAAATCTTTCCACCGCCCTTAGGGGGGCGATATCGTTCACTTTGGGAACCACTGCTCTATATCGTTATTCTATTAGCACATCCCGCGTTTTCTCAGTAAATTTATACTCATTTCCTTCTCACGAAATTCTAATTATTTTAATAATAGCTTTGTTACTTAACTCCTCCTTCTGTTCACATGTGCGATTTACCGTTAGGTTGCTGAGGATTAATCGATTAATTCATACTGCCATTTTAGAGTTTCAATAAAGTTATCGTTGCAATGATAATCTACATGTCATTACACTACAATCGTCTGGAAACTTCAGTTATTATTCAGCATTAACTAAATAATGTGTAGTTCTTCACATAAACTTCAAGTAAAGAGCTTAACTACATATAACGCACTTTATTTGCCAAGTGAAGAAAAATTTAGCTTTATTATTTTGAATTATAAACAGATGATCTGCAACCCTGATAACTTACGGCCCCTAACCTACACCGAGGGATTCAAAATCAAGATCAGTGAGGACCCCGAGTTGCTGCAACGCTACAATGTGACGCTCGATTCGTTGTCCTGCTGCGTTCACGAGATCGTCAGAAACCCACAATCTCTGGAAAAATTCGACGGCGACTGTGATTTAACTTACCAGTGAGTGTTAGTAATGGAAGATAATGGTTATCAGTTTTACTCAAGAGAATCTATCAAGCGATTTCCATTATAGGTTGGTTCAACAGAGAATACGAGACCATAGAAGCTGTGTTTTGTTGGTTGTTGACACACGCGCTTCACAATTGCGCGCAACACCCCGATAGTCCAGAACGTTGTGATGCAAAAACATTCACATACTAGTTTGTCAAACAAGAGAACACCCCGATACCTGAAATTTTCAGGGGCACAACCATAGGCCACTTATTTTACTATTAAAAAAGACCAGCAACCAACGCCTGGCCTCAGCATGCAATAACTTTACTCGGTCACAGAACTATAAACCGCAGAATACGGTGGAACACCGTAATCCAAACCAGTGACACGCTGCATGCATAAAGATTATGAGGTCGTATGTCTTCAGCCAATACATGAGCATGCTCGCTAATAAGCCGGCATTTCGGCATTCTGCCTCACCCACTCCGGTATACGCCCTATATGCCCTCCGGGTATGGGTCGAAAATTCAGGTAATTTTGACCGAAGACTAGCAGAAGGGTGAACCTCTTATGGCCTAACCCCTACACCTTGCGCCCAATATAGGGTCTTATGGCCTGCGCTAAATTCTTAAAATTAGCATGATTAATTGGTGGCTGTGGACATCCAGCGCTATGGTTTTGAGCAGTTAACTTCATATACTGCCAGTGATCTTCATATACTGACATCTCCAGTGATCTTCCATACGGAAAGGAATAGGAATAAACTGTGAATGCGGGCAAATTCTTGGGCCTATTTTGTTCGTTGCTTTTATAAACGATTTGCCAGAAGCAGTATCCAGCGTGTGCTCCATGTATGCCGACGACACGAAAGATTATAATACAGTGAAGGATGCGTCAAATAAAGCGCAATTACAAAATGATATTGACAGTTTAGTAAACTGGGCTGATACGTGGCAGTTGAGGTTTAATGCTGACAAGTGTAAAGTACTTCACCTCGGGAAGTACAATGAACAGCAAGATTACAGTATGAAAAGACATGGTTGCAACGAGAGAGTAATGATTGAAAAGTCTAGTGTGGAAAAAGATCTCGGAGTTTATGTCGACAAGGAGCTGAAATTTTCTAAGCTTATTGAAACGAAAGCTAACACATCCAACAAACTTCTTGGACTAATCAGACGCTCATACGAGTTCCTAGATGCAGAAGCGATGAAGCAGTTGTTTGTTGCTGTCGTGCGCCCGAATCTAGAGTTTGGAAACGTTGTATGGTCACCGAGATTTGAAAAGGACAAAAATTTAATAGAGCATGTTCAAAGACGAGCAACAAGGATAATTCCAGGCTTGAAGGGCAAGTCCTATGAAGAAAGATTGAAGATTATGAAGCTTCCAAGCCTCAGTTATCGACGTCTGCGTGGGGACTTCATTGAAGCATACAAGTATACAGTATACTCATGGCTTATAAAAGGTCCCAAAAGGATTACCAGAATTTGAAACAAGAACCAACACCAGGGGCCACGGCTATAAGCTAAAAAAACTGCGCTGCAACTTCTCCACGCGACAAAATTTCTTCTCGCTTCGAATCACCGGCATGTGGAACAGCCTCCCCGATTGAAAGCAGGGAAACAGCGAGCATCATCCAGGCCATTTGGAAGTAGTTGCTGTTCCACCTGCAAGCCAATGAAACATGTCTGCTGCTGAGGAAGAGACCCAAGAAAGCCATCAACACTGCCATGTCCAGATGTGACAGTTGGCCCGCAGGAGGTCATCTACACATCTCAAACAAAGCTAACAACAACAACAGCCTCCCCGATGACATCGTGGGCGCTCCAAGTATGAACGCGTTCAAGAACAGACTGGATAAAGCTATGGAAAAATATATGTACAGATTTGAAATGCCTAGCACCTTTTCGAACTCGGTGGAAGTCTAGTAGCTACTTCAAATTATCGTCAGTCATGAAAAGATCCGGTCAAATGACATGATTTTAGATCTTCTATGAACAAGGCACAAAAAGGAAAAGAGTCTGCGACAGGTCACATCAGGCCTACGCTTCAGCGCCGAGATTGCTATGTTATGTTATGTTTAAAGCTGGCCTCCGTTATGCGCCCCAAATGTTCAACCCTAAAACAGCAATAAAAAATTTCAACTTGCTATGTTAAATTTTGATTAGTATCAAGTCTTATGATCTGGTCATGGATGGAAATGAAATTTTTCTGTCAACTGTTCATATTTTGAAGATTATTGCATCCCAGTGGAACCAGTGCGATTTTAGGAATAGCTTCTCTGTGTCGATATTCCAAGCAAAAGATAACCACGCAGATTATTACTATGGCGATGCCTATGCATACATTTATAATAAAGAAACTATTTATAATGTTTCGGTTCGTCTCGAGCAGAAAAAGTGAGTGTCATCCGATCAGCAAGATAACTTCATACGAAGTCACAACAGACGCCGCACTGGTCGTCTGCTCCAAGAGCAACTCGAATTCCACATCATGCTACAAGAATGTACACTACTTCTTTCACACGGACAAAATTGGAGACAAAATTGCCGCACACAAAGTGAGTTAAGTAGCAAACTGAAATTCATTTCATTTTCTTCACTTATACCGGAATGAATATTACTCTAAAATCTAAATGCATCAGGTCAACTCTGACACACATTACCGGAGACCAGCTACACTCTGCTTAAACCATGTCGCCGAACGTCGGCAGCAAATGTATAAGCCACTCCCATTTTCATGGATGTTTAAGCCACATGGCATATGTCCCTACTTCCATACTTACCCAAACTTTCCACCATCTGGCATCCAATGGCCTGCCTAACCTGAGTAACCTCCTCGGGTGTTAGAGAGTTTTTAAAAAATGCACCGTTGTGCAGTTTATGCATCCAGGAAGACGAAATAGGATTAAGCAGTTGCTGTGGACTTGGGCGCTGTAGCTTCAAGTACTTAACTTAGTAGGCTACTATGCTTCTAGCATTCATGCCCGCGACATGGAATACGAAATGCAGCGTGGAGGTTGAACTTAAGCTGTACTAAGTTGGGCTTGCTGACCTCTAGCACGTACAACAAAGTTTGAATGAAATATACATTTTTTAAGTGAGAAATTTAGCTGCTCGTTATTGAGTATACTGTATACGCGTTTCCTACTTATGGTCTCTTCTCTCCTCGTTGTCTAACTTGAGTATCCAAAGTTTCGCAAATGGCTTCAAAACGTGTTAAATTTCATGTTAAAAAATATTAACGCGCTATTTCCTGCCTTGACAGGAACGTATGAAGCCGCGTAAGACACTCCCACTAAACTTCATCTTAATGGGGTTCGATTCAACTTCTCGTCAAAATTTGAGAAGATTCTTACCCAAGACATTCCAATTTCTATCGGACGACCCTAGCACCTCAGACTTTATGGGCTTTAATAAAGTAGCTGACAATACTCTGGTTAACCTTTTACCAATCATCATGGGTAATCGCGCAGAAGACCTCAGAAGCTCCAAGCTGGAGTGCTACAAGAATGGAAGTTTATACTTCGACAGTTGTCCCTTAATTTGGAAAAACTTTTCTGCTAAAGGCTACGCAACGGTGTACTCGGAAGATGCTGCAGGTATGAGGATGGGCTCCCCAAGTAGAATGGGTTTTGTTCAACCTCCAGTTGATTTCTATTTTCGCCCGTATATGTTGATCTCTGAAAAGGAGATCGGCCACCCAAAAGCCGATAATCACTACTGCTATGGACTCCATTCTAGCACAGAGGTAGTTTATGATCACATTATGAGGGCTTTAGATAATCTATCTGACAAAGTACCTGTGTTTGGATTCTTCTGGACTACAACTTACACTCACGACTACAACGAAAAAGCAGCTCCCCTTGATCATCCAACACTACGTTTCCTAAAGGAATTTTCGCTATCTCCTCATCGCAACAACACAATTCTGCTTTTCTTCAGTGACCACGGCCTAAGATTTGGCAAAATACGGTCTACCTACCTCGGTGCGTTGGAAGAAAGGCTACCTTTTGTAACAATGATATTCCCTCCATGGTTCAAAGATGAATATCCAGGCACATGGAGTAACTTGGTGGTAAACCAACGACGCTTGACGAACAACTATGACCTCCACAGCACCCTCCTCGACATCTTGCACGGTGCCTATAATGCCTCATTAGACCTCAAAACCCCTGATGGACTCGGCCAAAGCCTATTTTTAGAGGTTCCAAATAACAGGACGTGTGAATCAATTCATATTCCTTGGCATTACTGCGCCTGCCAATCTTCCGTGCCTACAGACATTAAAAATTCTGACGTAAAACTAGCGGCTCAAGTTCTCACGCATGCAATCAATAAACTGATTGAAGATCATCCTGGGTGTACTCCGTTAAAAATGAAAAGCGTACGTTCAGAATATTTTTTTTTTTGTTTTTATGTTTGATATTTATCTCATATATGATCACACTAAAATAGATATGAAATATGATTATGTAGTTGCCATTTGGTTCCCATGTTAGCCATGAAATCACTCCGTTAATTAACGTAGCAAGGTGCAAAGTTCTAAATTGTTTTATCCATTTGGCTTTCATGCATATTTGCATCTTCCAACGGAATGTAACGCGCGGTAGCCACAATATTAATGTCTTTCACTGAGATTTATTCTCATGCCAGATCATTAGCGCACGAGAGTTCCAGAATCACGAGGAATTTGGAGCAGGCACCGTCCGGGGAAAACTGAACAAGTGGACGACGTACTTCGTGATGATAGAAACCACGCCCGGTGAGAGTTAATTGTTGTAAGAATAAATTCAATCGTTATCGTATTCCTGGAATAATTGAACCTCTGAAAGTATTCCATTCATTCCGTTCAAAGGTATTGCTGCAAGTAATAGAATAGAAGTGTCGGCATTGAAGAAATAGGCCCATGGCCTGTTGCCGATTCTTGAATTTTTCGTGACTTGATTCACAAGGGATCCGGCCTTTGGAACCCGATCTTTCCATAACTGACGATTGATTGAGATAGCTGCTGGACTTATTGCCTGGTCCGTAATTTGCTAGGCATTTTAAGACTGAACATATGCTCCTGCATAGCTTCGTCTAGTCTGTTTTTAATTATATCAGAGGAGCAGGCAGTTTTCTGGAATGAAATTCTCTACATAATCTTTCTGATTATGGGCTATGGAAAAAGATATTCATTTTGTGCTGGATATGATGATTTAGTGCTTAAAAAAATTTCCCCTAAGATTTCAATTTAATTAATGGCATACTTGCAAACGTGGAAATGCCGAGTTTGAGTTCAAAACAACCAATGCCGATGTTACATATCGCGGGCATAAAATAACAGTTGGGGCTTCATCACTAATTGCGAGAGGAGAGAAGATTACGAATAATATATTAATTTTCGTTTTATTTTCAAACAAATACATTGAAAAAAATAGTTGCACTAGCGTAAATAATTTTAAAATCTACATCTTCCAGTAAACTTATGGTGCTGTTCCCTGATCGCTGCTCTTAAAATAGGAACACTCCATACGTACTATTGCTGAAAATTTGCCTTTTAAGACAATTGGATTTCGCAATAATAATTACTCTCATTTTGAATGGTTAGGACCAACATCACCAGAATTTTTTTTTTGTGCAGGAGGCGGAAACTTCGAAGGATCGATCATCAAACGGGACTCCTCATTGCAAGTTTTAGGTGACATTTCTCGGATAAATAAATATGGAAACCAAAGCGCTTGTATCGAAGAGACGGATCTAAAAAAATTCTGTATCTGTCGCCAGTCTAGGTAACGCCATAACTGCATTTTCCTTTACTATTATAATTCCTTTACTATTATGATTCCTTTACTATTATAACTTCCTTATTATTATAATTTCCTTTACTATTATATTCCATTTACTTATCCAGTCTTACTTAGCGAACAGAGAGCAGTTTGTTGCATTGAACGAGTTCAAATCTCCCATAGGACCCATCAATATAGGTGTACCACAGGGCTCTGTACTTGGGCCTTTATTCTTTAATATTTTTATCAATGATATCGCCTCGTATTTTATCGGGAACTGCAAGCTTTTTGCCGACGATGCCGTTTTCTATGTCTCGAGAAGTTCTTACGATGAAGCGTGTGCTTATATTTCGGAGCTAGCAGTGAATTTGTCTAGATGGCTCTTAAAAAACAGGCTTGTGGCTCACACAGCTGAGACAAAGTTGATGCGTTTTACTCCCAGACCCGTTTCTTTTCTACGCGATATCTTAAATATCTTGGCTTAATAATCTACAATAAGATTTCCTCCAATAAACACATAAACTAAGTCTGTCAGAGGCTGAGTAAAGCCCACGGAGTTTTGCGTGCTCTATCAAGTGTTTTACCTTTCCATCGTTAAGAACGCTTTTCTACTCATTCTCCTTACCTAAACTATCAAACACGTTTCTAATCTGGGGTGGGGTACCTTTTAATTCAAAGAAACGGGCCATCACCTTAATTAATAAATCTTTGCGTACAATATTCCGGGTTAGGTATGATGAGGACAATATCCATTGACTCGTACTAATGTATTATATAACTTATATAAGCAGTCGAAAATTTTAAAACTTGACGATATGTGCAAATCAGCAAATGTCAGCTTTTAAAATTAATGAATAGGGCACTCTTCCATGATGAACGTCTTTTTATTTCTGCATTCGCCTCTCTTGTTCCTCAACATTCCCATGATACCGGGGGCATGCGCTTTAACTTACCCCCGGTTTGGATAGAAATTGAAAGAAACGGTATTGTTTTTAATTCTGTAAAATATTTTAATGAATTGCTTGACGATTTTAAACTAGATTGCTCTAAATTCAATTTAAAGATTAAATTCCGCGATTTTATTCTTACCCAGTCTTAATTTGACTTCGATTATCATGTGAGATTTTAGTGATTGCCTCTCTTAATAAGATCTTTGATAAATATTATGGTGTAAGTCAACATTGTTTTGACTTTTCGTCTTAGATGTATCTGTCTTTTAGGTAGGGTTGTTATTACCTTTGTTATATTCATTTTTAGTCGTTAAGCTGCTTATTCTCATATCAGTTTTATCAAATGGTAGTTTATTAGGATTTTTATGCTTTATGCACTTTCTGTTCCCTGTTGGCTTGTCTCATTGTCATTGTGTGTTGTTCTATTGAGAGTAATATCACATGTGTCGCCTGTGAAGCTTTTTAGCTTGTATAGGCATTCACAAGGAAGCATTTTGTATTTTTTTCTTCAAATCTTCGATGTTCTCTTGTTATGTATTTTTTGTGTGCTCCTGTGTGAATAAAGAATAAAAAAAATTAAAAACTCACATTAAATTATCATGAACCAATATCTTCAGAGAAAAATTTTTCTGTTGATAAAATAGCAGCATCTTTACTGGTTACATTACACAACTTAGTGTTCATTAGCAGTTTTAAAAATAACAGTCGAGTAAAATGAGATGGCTGGTGTTTATGGAGAAACAACAAACTGTATCGAAAATCGTAACTGATCGAGTATTCATATATTTATGCAAGAGGTATTAGTAGTATAATTATTAGGTTTATCATTATAGTTTTCATAAACAGCTTAAATCACAGGCTTCCGATCGTTTACCCACAATGTTATTTTGAATCTTGGCAATCAAAATATGGTTGTACACTGTTCACCAATCGACACCTTACCGAGTGCTTCCAATATTTGTAATCACCGTCAGGGAACTTTGGTAACTATTTTTTTATAAAAATCTGAGACTTATCCTGGGTATGCAGAACACTTGCCTATAACAGCTTTAACCCAGAATACCCGACCTAAAATTAGCAGAATCACTGTTTAGCATAGTTACCCTACTCAAGTACTGACGTATACTTTATTTTCTTTCAATCTATGTACAACTCTATATAAACTGGGTTTCTAGGTGTGACTTATTCATTTATTCTAGTAATTTTTCATCTTATAACGACAGTTTTACACCCATTAGAGCTATAGTATTTCCACAGTTTGCTTATAAATTTTTTAAAATTCGATACCAACGAATTTCGCGAATACATAGCTAATATTTTGCGACTGAGAAAGAAAGCTTAGACCGCAAAGTGGTCTGAGACTCGCTGTTTTCCAATGAGATGTGGTGGGTTTGTATTCAAAGCCGCCCGAACTCCACAGCGAGCTTGCTCGAGTTTGCTGCCGAGACGCGAGAGGGCTGGTTATCTTACGTCTGGCCGACGCGATGCCGTAAGAATGCGTGCTAGCTCAGGCCGCGTAGGGCTGGACCACAGTACAAGCTCACAACAGTGCCGTCATTTTATAATGATGTGCCGTCATTTTAAATCTTTTTCCATGTTATTTATTTAATTTTTCCGGTTCAAGCAAGGACGTGATTATTGTAAAATTCATCATGGCAAAAAATAATTTAGGCTTTGATACCCATTCTTTCAACTGAATAACATATTTTATTTAACTTGTGATAAATAAAGTGAACAAATTATATTAACAGAATACAACTTGGATGTGCATAGACCAATAGTTAGCTCGTAACGATAGAGCGACACTGGCTTCGATGTTTGTAGCATGGGCATGGAGAAAAAAATGGAGGTTGTGGCACCGCAGTGAGGGTTGTTAGAGGGGATAGATGTGCGGGGGAATTTGTGAGGGTTTCACACACTCATGTCTGACACCCCTACTCTCGCCACATCGTCAAAGAAATACCGATGTCTTTCACTGTAATATGAACTGGTGTTATACAAAGCTTACATATTTTTTGTTCCTTTACACGGATTGTAAATAAATACCTAGATAAGTATGGAAAATTTCAGATCGTCATCTCATTTACGAGTGGAGTAAAGTTCACCCTAATTAGTGAAGAACTGCTTAGGAACCTGTCCGGGACCTCGCGGCTCTCAAGCACCACCTTAAGGCCGGTCCACACGCTCAGTTTTACACAATGATTTGTCTGCGCAGTTCTACTCGTTGCAGATAAAACGTTGCGTGGGGACGGGAAAACTGCGCAGCTTTGAAGCCGGCGGGAAAAATGCAAAGTTGCAGATAAATCTGAGCTCCAGAGCATAGATTTCGATGAACTGCGCAGATAAGTCGGAACGTGTAGACGGTAGCACCATTTTCCGATTCAATTTGTGCTCAATTTCAATTATTCTGGCGACAATGGCGGAACTTCGGTAATGTTCTCGGGAATTTATTGCTCTATAGTCTATACGAACGTTTTCCTTGCATTTGGAGAGTAAAATCCAACGACTATAGTAACAGGGAAAAAAATTTGGAGACATATTAGAGCTTAGTACAAAAATTCGAATAAATCGATGAAAGCGCGAACCGAGAAACAGCTGTAAAAATTTGAGGACTTTTTACCGTAAATAATTGGGAAAAAATTAATAAATCGATTCCATCTGGAGCCGGAGAAGATGACATATCCATGCCATCTTTCTGGTATTTTGATACCCCGCATTTCCTAAATGATCCAATCTTTTTTTTTAACATGGCACAATGCCAAAATTGACCAAATACTGCCTCCTCCTTGGCAAGATCGCGCAAAACTGAGCACACTGCACAGATAAGTCGGCACCGCGTGGACGTGCTAAAAATGGCAACGATTTCATTCCGACTTAGAACTGCGCGATAAATCGTTGTGTAAAACTGAGCGTGTGGACCGGCCTTAGATACTCGATGGCATCGATCGAATTTTAAGGTCCAGCATTCGTTTATGTGGGTGCTCATGCTACGCCTCGAATAAAGGTGGTGTCAGATGGCAAATAACAAACCTCAGATCATGAACATTCGATGCACATGCCACACCTCGAATGTTCTGGAACAAATATGTGGCAAAGCAATTTTTCATTGACATCACAGTAACCCCAGAAATTTCGTTGCCGACGGACAGTTGAAAGAGGATCCTCCTACATTGACTGTATATTCAAAAATTGCAGAAGAAGCATGTTTAAAATATGTTTTAAAAATTAATATTTTAAGACATCACTTCTAAAGAGGCCAGTCTCTCCGATGTTACACATGTACAAAGTTTTTCTTACTTTATTATTAAATATTAAAAAAATTGGTTTAAATATTTTTAATATTAAAAAACTTTTTTTAATTATTCATTCTGTCAATTGATTCAAGCATTGTCTCCGAAATAACACCATCCCCAGAAATTTTGTTGCTGACGGACAGTTCAAAAGAAGATCCTCCTACATTCACCACTGTATATTAGAAGCTTGCAGAAGTAGCACGTATAAAATATGCTGTTGTAGGGGTTGAATTAAACCTTTCTGTATTGTGTATTAGCCTGTCTTACGCTAGCTGTACATCAATGAATGATTTTGGATAATTATCTTTATTTTTAAATTTCTCTGTTTAATAAAAGTTTGTTTTGTCTTTATGTTTAGTTAGTGAAGTTCCCGCTAACTGACGAGGTATCTTCGATCAGCGGTGGGTTGTATAGAGCATGGTTGAACTATATAAGGTTGACCCATGGTTGAATTAATTAATTCAACCATGCGGCTTCTCTACCGCCGGCCGACAGTTTCACTGGGATGAAGTGTACGGCTCTACGTTTTGCGTTATTAAGTTATTGGTGAATAACTCTTTATGCCCATATAAAATTTTTTTTGCTGCTAAATAAAACTGATTTCGATTACTGTAGATGAAGCTTTAGAAATTAATGTGAATTAAAATTTTGAAAGTAATATTTATAGGGATAATTTTGGGATCAAGTTTAGACTATTAGCTTTTAAAATAAAATGTTGACACGATATAAATTGAAATGACACCTAGTGGGGCAACGGGCCCACGCGTGTCGCGGGGCAATTAAAGCGCCCATGG